TTATGGCAGAAGCTAACCATCACTAAAGCAACCAATTAATCAAGTAAACTTAAAATCTGAAAAGAATGTAATGGTAATGTTTAGGAAGATATGCCATTTGTTCACTTCAAGACACATTAAGAGATTTAACTAAATATAATCATTTATGAACAAATATAGAAAATGCTATTATATTAGTAACAGTGATTAACAAAGAAGAGAGTCCTTAAATATAGAGAAATATAACAATAGAGAAAAACAGTTTTGGCTTTTGCAGAAATGCCAGTTGGAGCAAGTGATGTGCAGTGATTCTGAACCTTTCCTGGGGTCATAGATCTGAAAACAGAAAGACCTCTGTGGAAACATACACATGCATACATTCAAGATTCTGCATGTAATTTCAGCATTAGGAACCTGTGTCAAAGAGCAGTTGCCATCCACCTTTTGAAACACTGAGGAACAGTCAACCAATACTGAACAACCCCTGCAGCTGAGTTGATTCGTCCTCTGGGTCTGGACACCCCCCTGCTTTGTATGCCACTTGTGGGTTCTTTGTTCCTGTTCCCTCAGATCTGCTCCATCCATCCCTACACCTGATCTTTTCCGTCTCTGCCCAGCTTCCCCAGTTCCTCACCTACTCCCATCTCTCCCTAGGGATATACCCTCCCACTCCTGTTTCCTTAACTGGTCCTGATATGAAAATAAATCTTATAATTGGGTGACCTGATTAACTAAATTTGTATGTTGTTATTCATAATTTTAAAATCCAGTGTGCTAAAAATTTACATTTGCAGACAGAGATTGAGAGAAAAAAAAAAGAGGATTTCTAGAAAGTGACTGTACTCCTGCCTGTGGCAATTAGCAGGTCTCAGGGACACAGAGAGCCCCAAGTGTACACAGTGGGTCCAGAACACAGGGCACAGAGACAGGGCAGGGCTCATCCATGCTAGGCCAAGGCCAGGAGGCCTCGAGGGCTCTGACTCTGGGACCTGGCCGAGGTTGAGATGGCGCCGGTCCAATCTCCAAGAGTCAGCAGGTGCATCTTGCACACCTCTCCAGGTAGCCGGCACAATCCATGCCTCCACCACATACTCTAAATCATGACAGAACAACGCTGTAGGACAAAGGTCAACAAGATATGTGATTATGTGGGAGGAGACTGAGGCATGTGAACACAAAACACAGTCAGTTAAAGTTCATCTATAAATTTCACAACCCTTGTATCCTGGGAATTATTTGCAGGTGAATTATTTCACAATTAGACAAATTTTAATGCTCTTAAGGCAAAATCCATGGAGCCACCACTATGCACCGTTTTTAATTTATTGTATGCTTTCTCTATGTCAGGCACTGTATATACAGAGGTGTCTTTATACCTCTAACTATATATGCATAATTTTATTTAATCCTCAAAATAGCCACATGATACAGTTATTTTAATCTCCATTCCGTAGATGAGGAATGTGAAGCTTAGCACCATCGACCAAACTGCCCAAAGTTAAACATACTAAGTCAGAGAGATGGAATTTCAACACAAATCTCTGACTCCAAAGCCTGTGCTCTAACCCTGAGGTCCTCAACTTCTCAAACTTTAAAGTACTAACACATGTGAATCCCCTGGGGCTCTGGTGAGCCTACAAACTCCGATTTGTGGGTCTAGGGTAGGGCCCGAGAGTCTGCATTTCTAACACACTCCCACATATGCTGCTGATTCAATTCACCGCCTGACTTGAGCAGCAAGGGGCTAAATAAACTATTATATTAGACTGACTCTATACTTAAAACTATGACTTCTGAAAGTTGAATGCGCTGCTAGCAATATATCCCTAGAAAAGCAACCACTTCAAAGATAAAAACAAACAATACATTTTATAGATATTAAACTGTGCAATAAATTTTTTTAAAATCAGAAAATACAACTCTATACCCTAAAACCAATTTTTAATGAAATAAAATGAATCTCCAATTCTTCTGCACACACTCCTGTTGTCATCAGCCAGAAGAGTCTCCCCATGTCCTATGTCCAAACCAGATGTATTCTGTGTTTCTACAAGGAAACCATCAGAATCTATTAAAATTACTGTACACTGATAGCAGCAGGGACATGACAAATCGCAGGCCAAGAGTCAGATACCACAGAATGTGTTTCAGGGCTTTGGGGGCAGGCCCATTTGCAACCAAATGATATTGTGTGAGGCCGGCATGCTCAGCGCATGACAAACTGATGCAATTTCAGCGCTGTCTGCGGGCCAGGGGAGATTTCTTTGATGCTGGTTGTGGTTAGTTTACAGAATTGTGCCGAGTTCCCAGATTTGAATCACTTGGGGCTTGAAAGGGCTTCACTTGACAAGCTACAAATAATTACACTCTACTCTTTCCATTGTACTCTATTATTTTGCCCCCCTTATCTCTAGAATTTGAGCTTTTGTGAACAAGCAAGGTCGGCTTCCATTTTGACCACAACACAACAAAACATTGTTCTTTTCTGATATGATAAATAAAATGAGGCCTTGCAGACTAAACATTTTTATCAGGTCCATTTTCCATTTTTATGGGCAAAAATCAACTTTGGACTCAGTTAGAAGGGCTGAGCAGGATATAAGCAGGCAGGCAGGTTCATGCATCCTCACTTAGTGATGTGATCCAGCTATCTGGTTATTGTAAAAGCTCATTTGAAAAATGGGGCATTGACTAACAGATAAAGGGCATATGGACAGTAGCTTTTGCAAGGTTTCTACTCCCCTTGTCCCCCTCCCCCCACTCCCACTTCCATTCTAACAGCCTCTTCACTCAGATAGTCTTAATGAAAAGGTTTCCCAATTTGGGATGCAATTAGAATGAAGCTGCCTTCATTCTAAATGGCATACTTCTCAGAAACACCAGCACCTCAGATTCAAGTTTGCCATTCCATTTGTGAAAGGTTCTAAAGACTGTATTCCCCACTTTAAGGCAGTTCCTAAGAAGAATATATTGATTATTGCTCTATATATTTTAATTTAGTAGACAAGAAAGCTTATCTATGTTGTGATATTTCCCCAAAGAAAACACAAGATTAGGCCAAGCATGGTGGCTCATGCCTGTTACCCTAGCACTCTGGAAGGCTGAGGCTGGAGAACTACTTGAGCTCATGAGTTCGAGACCAGCCTGAGCAGGAGCGAGACCTCTACTAAAAATATAAAATTAGCCAGGCATAGTATCGTGTGCCTCTAGTCCCAGCTACTTGGCAGGCTGAGGCTGGAGGATCACTTGAGCCCAGGAGTTTGAGGTTGCTGTGAGCGAGGCTGATGCCACAGCATTCTAGCTCGGCAACAGAGCAAGACTCTGTCTCAAAAAAAAAAAAAAAAAACCAAAGAAAAAACACAAGATTGAAGGAGGCAGTTTTTTTGTTTAAGCTCTGACTTCCACATTTCATAAAATTCTAGTCCCTAAAAATTTATTTTTGAAAAAAATCTAGTGATGATTAACATTGCTTCAAATAAAGTAGTCTAAATGTTTTCTTTTGAAATTTATTTGTCTTAACTGTGGGTCAGGCACTGTTCAAAACCATCTACACTTAATTTTGCAACAACTCTATAATATAGGTATATAATTTCATTTAATTAAACTTTGTTATTACTATTCCCATTTTAAATATAAGGAAACTGGGGTACAGAGAGGTAAAGTAATCTGCTCAAAGTCTCACAGCTCATGAGTGGCAAAGATGGGCATTGAGCCCAAAGAGTTTCCTGTGAGCCCCCTTCAACACTGCTTCTTAGTTCCACAGCTCCATTCACTTAAGGACAAGGTGACCACAAGAACAACATGCCTCACCTGTGCTGCAACCAAGAGCCTGCAGAGAACTCATGCTGACAGTGTAGACCAGGTGTCCTCAAACTACGGCCCATGGGCCACATGCGGGTGTTTTTGCCCGTTTGTTTTTTTACTTCAAAATAAGATATGTGCAGTGTGCATAGGAATTTGTTCATAGTTTTTTAAAACTATAGTCCAGCCCTCCAACAGTCTGAGGGACAGTGAATTAGCCCCCTGTTTAAAAAGTTTGAGGACCCCTGGTGTAGATAAGTAATAGGGAGATTATATTCTCAATAGCTAAAGATGCTAAATTTTGAGATTTCAGCTCCTGAAACTGAATACTATCATTCCTGCCTCACTGCATGTTTTGCTATAAGCTGGACCCCTCCTATTCTCTAAATCTTCCTCCTCAACACAGTGGCACTCGCCACATGTTGCTATCTAGCATTTGAAATGTGGCTAGTCCAGACATGCCCTATAAGTGTAAAAACCACCAAATTTTAAAGAATTACTACAAAAATAACAAGAACCATCTCACTAATAATGTTTATGTGGATTATATGTTAAAATAATATTCTGGATTTATTGGGTTAATTCAAATATATCCTAACATTTCATTTCACCTGTTTCTTTTTTAATGCGGCTACTAAAAAACATCTAAAATCCCTACATAGCTCACATTTGTGGTTCCCACTACATTTCTATCAGACAACGCTGCTCTGAACTCACCCCTTAATCCCAAACTTTGCATGGCTGAATCATCAGCTCAGATCTGTAACCCTGACAAGAAAAACAACCCCAAGAACTGCAGTTCTCCTCCTGGGAAGCTTCATTCCTACTTACTCGCTCTCTCCCTTCCCAACTCTCAGGCTTACACCACTGCCTGCTTTCCGTGACCTTGAAGTACTGACTATCTTTGGTCTAAGTTAGAAAAAGGCTTCACCTGACCTACCCTGCTTTCCCTTCGTGCTGCTATGATTCCTCTCCCCCTTTTCATAGGCAAAACATCTGGTAGGGTCCTCACTCTCTCCCAGCCGCCTCACTGCAGTGCAATCTGACATGGTCCCCCACAGGCCCTTCTCTACCTGGCTCTCCTGACCTCTCTAGAACAGCGGCTGGTCCTCAGAAGCACAGCAGGCTTCAACTGACCTGAACGCCAACCAGGCACTTGGAAGGAAGGACAGAAACTTATTTACCTAATTCTGGGAACAAAAAAAGGGAGTGGCACTAACCTTCCCAGCCCATTCTCCCACGCCTGGTCCCAACGAGCATGTCCTCTCACTATCTGGGAATTCTTTCGCTCAAGGCAGATGTGGCTCACTGCAGCTGTGCCATTCATGGAATCTCCCGGGTCAGCCGCGATTCTGTTGTGTGGGTGTGTCCCCACCCCCGCCAGTCCTGTCCAGGAAAAGCTAGAGTCAGGCTGAGTCTCAGGCATCATCTGAGCAGAGTGGACATCCAGCCCCATGTAGCAGCCACCTTTCAGAGCATGGCCTGAAGGCTCCGGTCCATTGAAGCCGGGCCACCAAGAAGGGGTCCAGTGGGGAATTACCACTTATTGGCTTATAGGCTTGAAGACAGGGTCAACAGAGTAAGGAGCAAACTCTGGGGCAAAAGTGGAAATCCCACCATTGGCAACGAGGAGGAAGTGAAACTGGAACTAGTGTGGAAAGGCAGAATGCAAGTCAGCCAACTTCGGTAGCGGGAAGAGACAGGCAGAAGATCACAGGACCCAGTACATGAGCACCCCAAGCCTTCGAGCAATTGGGGGTGGGCGGGGGCAGTTCAGGAGTGCAGGGCAGGAAGTGTTGAGTGGAGAGTAAGTAGAGATGAGATAGAGAATACCAAATTTTATTTATTTTTTATCTTTTTCTTTAAGCTACCAACTCTAGACAGTTTCTAAAGCCTACTGACACTCTCTTGAGAATTTCATGTCTATCCTATGCCACTAGCCCAGCCCAGCCCATCCTCCTGGGACTCCATAGCTGATTTCAATCAACCCTCTTTGGAAATATTTTGTACACCAAGGTAAGTTAAATCAGCATGATTTCTGCATTTTCATATCACTGTGCTGTTCAGAAACATTCTTCACAGCCCTGTTTATTTCTGCAAAGGTACTAACTGGATTTCAGAGTTTTGGATTTCAGAGTTTGCACCCTTACCTGGTGCACAGCTGCCAGAGACACCCTTGGTGGTCCTACTGATGCGGCTTGAATAGCACCAGGGATGGGCATTCTCTCTTCTCCACCCTACCCCCGAGCAACTCACATATTCTCCCTATTACAATGTGTCCCCCTCTGCCCACGCCCCATCAAAAGTGGAATGGACTCTAATACCTTCAACACTGGCCACTGCCCACCCTCCAAGAGCACACAACAAAGGCAGCCCTCCTCAGGGGCCTCTGCAATGTGGCTTTGCTCAGGGATCCAAAATATTTCCATTCTCCCCCCACCACGGACTCCTGCACACCTTCAGTAGTCAACTGCCTGTAGTTGGCACAACACAGACACTCAAATACTTGATTTACTGATTTATGATAATTAATTATGCTATTTTATAATAGATAAATGCTCTGCTTTCATGGTATGTTGCAACCAAGAGCACAAGAGGTTAAACAGCATTGATTTCAATAATCCCTATCTATTTTTTTATGAAACTTTTTCTTAAAATTAACTGTCTTACAATGTTACAAATTCATTAAACAGTTCAAAATATATTCAGGTGCTTTCAAAGATGAATATTCGTCCTTTTCATAAACTGACATTATTAATGGCCAATGAAAATGAATATATCTCTAACATAAAGCAAATGTTGCTTTTTAAAATCCCTCCAAATCTAAAAAATTGTGAAATAAACATACACTTTCAAAATGACAGTCCTGTGGCCCACTCAAAAACCCAGTGCCTACCCACACTTATTTAAAAAGTCTGTACGTCACTTGAGAAAAACCAATGAAACTGAGCATAAATGCTTAAAAACAAAATGGTCCACAAGAAATTCAGGAGGAAAGTTCATGGTTTTACAATACTCCCTTGTACAAGGAGGTGCTCTTGGCATGGACCCAGAGTATCCAAAAGGGAGCAAAACCTGGACAAATCATACAACAAACAGAAGTGTTTAAGGCCACCTTTCAGATAATCTAACTTTAAACACATACACAGGCATACACAATGCAAGATTTCAAATCATTTTTCATCATTATTATTTAATAAACCAGTCCTGGCACTTCTGGTTATGCATCCATTTTTTATGTGAAAATGTTTCCTACATTCTAACTCTACACATTACTGGACATTTAACCTTACAAAACACTTCCTCAAATTACCAAAGCTCACTGTATGAACCATGCTGAATTTCTATTTTAAGTTTCTTGCCAGTGTTTAATAACAATGGTGGAAAACTCTATTTTGTTTAATTCCCATGTTAAACAATCCCCTGAAATAATTCCCATGTTTCACACCTGACGTCCAAATCCCTTGCATGCCCAGGAACTTCCCATCAGGCACCAGCATGACTTTCCTACCAGGACCAGTCTGGCAACAGCAAAGCCCAAGCCCTTGGGACCCCAGTTCAGGTGGGATCCTCAGTGCTGGGGCTGTTAGCACTGTGGTCCAGTCAAGAGTAACTCTGGGCCGAGCGCGGCAGCTCACGCCTGTAATCCTAGCACTCTGGGAGGCCAAGGCGGGTGGATCACTGGAGGTCAGGAGTTGGAAACCAGTCTGAGCAAGAGTGAGACCCCGTCTCTACCAGAAATAGAAAGAAATTAATTGGCCAACTAATATATATAGAAAAAGTAGCCGGGCATGGTGGCGCATGCCTGTAGTCTCAACTACTCAGGAGGCTGAGGCAGCAGGATTGCTTGAGCCCAGGAGTTTGAGGTTGCTGTGAGCTAGGCTGACGCCATGGCACTCTAGCCTGAGCAACAAAGCGAGACTCTGTCTCAAAAAAAAAAGAAAGAAAAGTAACTCTGCCCAGCAGAAAAGCCCTCTCACAGCAACAGAAACACAGTACTCTCCTTTACACTCTCCAGAGCAGAAAGGACACCATATGCAACCTACCTGGCAGGCTAAGCTGCTTGTACTTTCCTCTTGTGCAGTGCAAATCCCAAGAGACTTGGCCCCTGAGCAGGTAGCACCCAGTGGGAGAATGGGATGCCCCAGGCCAGAGGTAGATATGGCACAAGAAAATGTAAAATCAGTGCTCTTCGTGTCCTGCTTGCAACGAAGAGAACCCACAATTCTCCTCCTGCTATTTAGACACACGATGATGATAACTATGTGTTAGTACATGCCTGGCACTGTACTAGGTGCTTTTTGTTCACTCTCTCCATCACAAGTTTATCCTGACAAGGTTCGGTGATTGCACTGTCCCACATAAATGCGGAGCCTGAAGCATGTGCAGGTGTGATGAGGTGAGAACCCATGTCTGGCCTACCCAGGTCTGCCGCACTCCTTCTAGACCGCATGAGCCCCAGGCAAATGATAGCAAAACATTAAAAGAGGATTTCTTTAGAAGTGCTTATTTGCATGGTCTACCCATAAGACTTATGTATGTTTTCCCCATAAAAATGAAATCTTAATAAACAGAGAAAACTCTGTGGAGTTCTGGATAATCTTTTTTCATGGCATCGTATTTTTCATTTGTTGAAACTATATCATTAATTGGTTTTATTTATTTATTAATTAACTTTTTGAGACAGAGTCTCACTTTGTTGCTCAGGCTAGAGTGCTGGGGCGTCAGCCTAGCTCACAGCAACCTCAAACTCCTGGGCTCAAGCAATCCTACTGCCTCAGCCTCCCAAGTAGCTGGGATTACAGGCATGCACCACCATGCCTGGCTAATTTTTTCTATATATATTAGCTGGCCAATTAATTTTTTTCTAATTATAGTAGAAACGGGGTCTCGCTTTTGCTCAGGCTGGTTTCGAACTCCTGACCTTGAGCAATCCGCCCGCCTCAGCCTCCCAGAGAGCTAGGATTACAGGTGTGAGCCACCGCACCCGGCTTCATTAATTGGTTTTAATAGAGTGGCTCTACTGGGCACAAGAAACAATTCTAAACAGTTCATGGGTAAAATGAACTCAGGTGAAATTCTAATCCAACTTCATGAACCCAAAATTCCTTTGCCATACTGGAATTTCTATCAAATGTTTACTTAAAATCACTATTTGTGTTGTTTTGTTTAGCTTTAGAGGTAAAGTGAAGGAACAAGAGAGAGGTTTATGGGATTAACTGTACTTAGATGAGAAATCCCATACAAGTCTAACTCAGGGACCTCTCTATAGAAACCCAGGATGAAGATTTTAATTTTTTTTTTTTTTTTTTTTTGAGACAGAGTCTCGCTTTGTTGCCCAGGCTAGAGTGAGTGCCGTGGCGTCAGCCTAGCTCACAGCAACCTCAAACTCCTGGGCTCGAGCAATCCTTCTGCCTCAGCCTCCCGAGTAGCTGGGACTACAGGCATGCGCCACCATGCCCGGCTAATTTTTTTTATATATATATCAGTTGGCCAATTAATTTCTTTCTATTTATAGTAGAGACGGGGTCTTGCTCTTGCTCAGGCTGGTTTTGAACTCCTGACCTTGAGCAATCCGCCCGCCTCGGCCTCCCAAGAGCTAGGATTACAGGCGTGAGCCACAGCGCCCGGCCTTAATTTTTAGAAACAAATGCCAACAATAGCTATTACGGGGCCAATTATGTGTTAAGTCTTTGACACCTATTATTTCATTTGATCAAAACAATTCCTGTTGGTTACGAAGCGGTTACTGTTATCCCGTTGAGGGAAGCGGGGCTCGGACATCCTGCCCCGGTTACCATGCACGACGCGGTGAGGATGCGCAGGGCCGGGACCGTCCAGGCTTCATCAGTTCCAAAGCTCACTCTTCAGCTGCACTGCTACTTCACTCCTCACAGAACCCCTCCCAGAAAGGTCAAGTTCACACAATAAATACAACCCTAGCTTCTTTCTGATTCACAGAGCTGGCTCTGCTGCCGTGGGGTCCAGTATGAGAGGAAGGACGGCACGCTGCACACTGGTCAGCACCCAAGGCATACACATCAATTCTCCTCTCTCCCTGAATAATCCCACCTATTTAACGCCACACCCTGGCTTGCCAGTATGTCAGGAAACGAGGAACCCTATTCAGACACCCCTCTCTCAGGCTATCTGCCCCGGCTGCTTTCCTGTCTTTCGCAGAGCTTGCTTGACTGTTTAGGACCCGGCCTCCAGGGACGGCCAGCGTATCACATAAACTCTGAGCTACACTTCCAATAAACAGGCTGCCAGCATCCCCACCCAGGCATTTAGAATTCTCTGGGCCACAGAAAAAGGAGCTCCACAGAACCTTTCCAGACCCAGAACTCACTGGGGGAGCAAACCCTGACTGCAAAAACAGCTTCAAAAACAAAACTCTTGGTTAAAATCATGTTTGTTGAAACTGGCCTCATCTGAACCTGGCTGAACCTGAACGCTGAGAAGTCAGGAGTCAAAATTTCTACTTCTGCTCAGAGCAAAGCTCACTGGAATGCGCCTGGGAGGGAGCAGGCCCCATTCCACCACCAAGCTAGAGCTATATGCTAAGGGACAGTTGGCCCCCAGTATCTGTGGGATCTACATTCGCAGATTCAAGCAACAGCAGATAGAAAATATTAGGAAACAAAAATTCTGAACATGTACAGACTTTCTTGGTCATTATTCCCTAAACAATAGAGTATAACAACTATTTACATAGCATTTACATTGTATTAGGTATTATAAGTAATCCAGAAATGTTTAAAGTATACAGAAGGATGTATGTAGGATATATACAAATACTATGCCATTTTATATCAGGGACTGGAGCATCTGCAGATTTTGGTATCTGTGAGATGTATCTCTCTGGCCTCTTCCTTAAAAAGACGTTCTTATAAATGGAAAAAGTAAGAAACCCATACAAGGGTTTTTCCTGACAATACTATTAGGAGCCTAAAGTACAGAAAGGTAGTTGGAATTTCACCTAAGTATACTGTGATCAGTAAATAGCTGTTAATGATTGCTTGTTTAACCACAGAATCACCATTCTTTATTCACTCTTACATATGAAGTGACTGGGACACTTCAGATGTCATTCTCTAATTTAAAAGCACTCCAAGTTTGAGGTTGCTGTGAGCTAGGCTGACGCCAC